TCGGAAGAGTAAGAATGAGAAAATTCATGGTTTGAGATAAAGACAGTTTAAGAGGTACAGCAAAAGCTGCACATGCAAGCAAAGCAAGGAATTCATTCACTGCTCCCCATCAGCAGGCAGGTGTTCAGCCATCTCCAAGTAAGCAGGGCTCCATCATGCGTAATGGTTTCTTGGGAAGACAGTTGCCATAACTCTGAACGTCCCTCCACCCCTTCCTTCTTCTTTGTCCCAGCTTTATATACTGAGCATGATGCTGTATGGCGTAGAATATCTCTTTGGCCAGCCTGGGTCAGTTTGCCTGGCTGTGTCCCCTCCCAGCTTGCTGTGCCTTCTTGCTAGCAGGCCGGCACGAGAAGCTGGACTGTCCTTGACTACTTAGCAACAACTCAAAACATCAGCACGTTATCAACATTTTCTCATCCCAAATCCAAAACGTAGCCTCACACTGGCTTCTGTGAAGAAAATTAACTCTATTCTGGCTGAAACCAGGACACTAATGAAACTGGTTATACCGAATGTTCGCATAGCAAGGGCAAGCCAAGGACAATGCTGAGTGAGGGAAAACATGCTTGAGCAGTAGTGGTATTCCACCCAGGAGGAGGTGCAGAGGTCCCGTGGCAGCAACTGACAGGACAGGGGTAGGTTCAAAATGTCTCACTGCAGTGGAAGCTCAGGAAGCTCAGCTGATGTACTGTGCACATTTGAAGTAGTGACCATATCAATTCTGAAGCATGGATGTTGAAGTATAAATCCTTTTTTTGTCAGATTATAAAAATAGTTTCTCTCATGAGGTGATTCTTCTACATAAAATGTATCTTTCCGTGAGTATTTCAGTAATGAATCCAGAATTTACCGTTCCAGCCTAGAGCTATCTGAAGGATTAGTTCTTTATGTTACAGATTTTAGAAACCTTTTTTATGTTACTAAGTATTATTTACAGTTTTCATTTTCAAAAGAGATTTAATTCTCTGTACTCTTGCAGTGCTGGAAATAGAAGTACTACTATTATTAGGTATTGCTAATTAAGTATTGCTTGTTGTGTGTAGTTTCTTATGCTTTCTAAGGTCATTATTGGGTGTATTTGGTATATTACAGATACTTTCCAGTTGACAAATTCTGAAGGTCCTTCAATATTATTCTTAAATATCATTTATTAGCTTGAGAGACTGTGTGCAGTAGGGTGTCTTTTTATCCTCGTGCACTGTTTCTGCTTAACTATACAACGAATTTCTTGAGGGAACGTTTCCATAAGTGGCATTTCAGAATAAATACAAGATGGAGTGAATTGTAATCTCCAGAGAATTGATTTATTCAGACGTTCCAATGTAATCTCTTTCCATTTTTTTTTTTGGTAAGTCACACTTTTATATGTTTGTGTGTGTGCTTATGAAAAAAACCCAACAATATCAATATTTATGTAACGATAAAGATACTTAATTTTTTGCAGTGTGGTAGCTGAATGATATAGTAGATCATGGTGCAGACTAGAAAAATAGGGAGTTGAAAGATACCATCTCTTTTGCATGTTAGGAATGTTTAGGGTTTTTTATCCTATATGTTAGGATTTGGATTGCAGGAAGTGATTGACAGCAGCATTAGTCAACTTTTTTTGCTTACAAAAATCATGGCATGAAGGTATGACCAATTACAATGACTACTTTCCACTCTTGTGATCAATACTATTCTTTTTTTTTGTTTAACAGGTTATTAAAAACAATCTGAATCCTGTTTGGAGGCCCTTTAAAATCTCTCTCAATTCTCTGTGTTACAGTGACATGGATAAGTCAATCAAGGTATATGAAATGTGTGTATGAATCGATGCATTAAAAAAAGCAGGATATGTAATACGTGGAAGATGTGTTTTTCTAGTTATTGCCTCTTTTTGTTTCTTAGTCTTATTTGAAAGTTGCAGAGATACATGCATGTTTTAGGAAGAAAAAAAATCTCACATTTGTGATGCATTATCTGGTAAAAGTTGGTCTTTGAAAATCTAGGAAACCAGTTGAACATAAGTAGCTTTGAAATCTACGGTGAAGTTTCTTATTTAGATCATGCAGTTTTAGTGTTGCATCAGCCAGTGTTGGTGGTGTTAAGATACTGTATAGTGAAAGATGCATGGTAAAGGCTAGAACATGCTTTGCTTTATATTATGGATCTTGTAATACTTTGTTACTGGTGCAACAGGGAACACTAATGAAGTTCTTCTGATACAATTAATTACACTTAATATACTAGCTGAGATAACAGATGTTGATACCAGTTGTATCTTGTGCATACCAAATGTAGCAATTTTTCTGCTCAGATGAATCTTTCAGTCAGAAAGCCAAGCAAACCTGTGAAGGGACAGTTGCCAGGACTGGTCTTTCTCTTTGTATCTTCAAATCTTACCTTGAGTAAATTATGTTTAACTTGTGAATGTTTTTCTTCAGGAATTCCCTTTAGGGGAAGCTAAACAACCAATCAAAATACCATTTATAAGCTATTATGAACATGTTAGGAACCTGATATTTTAGCATTTGAAAAAAAAACAACAAATGAAACAAACCACTATACTTGCCATTCTTCCTCTGGGAAGGAAAAATGAGAGCATGATCTGCATGTGACAGGTATTAGTCATATGACTTGAGGCAGTCCTGGAAAATGCTTAACTGCCACAGGGAACTGGGTGTTGCAAGCACCTGCATAGATTTAAATACGTAGTTATAGAGCAGACTAATGAATGGCTTTACAAGCCCAGAACCTGCTTCCCTTGCTGCTTCTGTGTTTGTTTTTTTTTTTTTTTTTTTCCTTCTCATTCCTTTCTGCTTCCCTTTTCCTCAAAATAGCAATGACAGCTCTTACATTTCCATATACTGCACGTATATTTCTCCTTTTCGGTAAACAGCCATATTCAAAGTATAGACCATTGATTAAATTGTATCTATTAAGATGGAGTTATTCTCAGCTCTATCATGATTTTAATGAAGTCTGTTCTTTGGAATCTTACCTCAGAAGTGTAGGTTTATTTCCAGAGGAAATAGATTTTGTTTGGAGTTGTTATGGTCTTGCAGACAGACAGTAGGATTATGCCTTTACTTAGAAATCTGGGAGCTATCGCTGCAAACATGAAAATGGAGACAGAACTGTATTATAATGTTGTTGAAGGATTAAACAATAATTTTAATGCTTTTATGTGCGCACAGTTGCATACATAATGGGCTATTTGTCATAGTAAGTAACACCACCAACTTTTCCATGAGTGGCTTTTCACCTATTTAATGGCTTCGTTTGTGTATCCCCAGCAGTGCACAAACCAAGCTGATTCTTTATCTTCTGTATTTATTGCTATATTCCTTGTGAGTGTGTTTGCAGTCAGTGAAGTCTTTGTGTGTTGGAAATGTGAGCCTTTCATCTGGAGCAAGCATGCCGAGTTCTGCTGGGGAAATACATACGCGCTTTTATCACATGGTTCCCTAGTGCTATTGCATGTCCAGGAGAGCATACATGGAACAACAAAAATATTTCTGTCTTGCCTGGAGTAAGAATTGAAGATTGACTTAGATGGGTCAAATATATCAAGCAAGACAAACTTTAATCCCTTTAAAAGGAAAAAGAAATAACTGTGCTAACTGTGAACAGGTATCATAACTTTTGGCTCAGGAAGCGTCATCAGTTTTATATTTCAGGTACTGAAGCACTTGTCTGAGTATTTGATTGGCTTAATTTATAGCATTCAAAAGAATTTTTACACAGCATCTGCCATGAACATTAATTTGTGGGTACTGTGGCTGCTTGTATGAGTTTTAAGTTGTTATTCAGTGCATGTGCATGCATTTTACTTATTTATTAGTGTGTTCAAAATGTAGGAGTAATGCAAGCCACAACATAGAGGCATGTTCTGTACAGTGTAGAACTTGCAATCTATGCATCATAATTTGTACTTCAACATTACTAATTGTTTTCAGAAAGTTAATTCCTGTCCAAAGCTCAAGTGTATGTTGAGGTTGTTTGTTTTACTTTGTTATTCTGGAATGAAGTGGCCAAGTAACCAACTAAATTGTTTTTTTGACTATAACGTAGGACTTTTTCCGTCTGGAAAGACAGACGTGAAAAGAGCTGTTCAATTTAAGCCATATATATTCAGAAGTTTTTCTTGAAGTTTATATTTTGGTTCCAAATAATGGGGGAATTCCTACTTTTACTCTTGATTTACTATTGTTATTATTTATAATTATTAAAATACTTTAATTTGTTTCTCTGTGATTTAAGTTAGCTGGCGTGTCTGTGTTGCTAAACTGAAATAAAATATCAGAAGTGGATCTAATTAGCATACGTTCTAGATAAATACGTAGCTTTTGTCTAGAAAGGCAGCTGGGGCACATTCATAAGTTGAGCTTTTAAAAAATAAAAATTGCGGACACTATAAAGTTAAAGTAACAGTGGTAAAATTATGCTTATTTAAAATGATAGGTTCTCAAACAGAAAAAAAAGTCTATTTTTCACTCGTTCTGCCTTCTTTGGTGGGTTGGGGTGTTAAAAGATGAGTTGACTGAATAGTAAAACTTAGCATTAAACATAGAATACAGAAAAAGAGGGATTTTTAGTTGACACTCATACCCATGAAGTGTGAATCATAGTGACTGTTTAAATGTGATAATCTTAAAAAAAAAAAAAAGAAAAAAAAAGTCTTGTCTCTATATTTAGGGCTGAACCTTCATATACTTAGAAATTCTGAGTTATCTTAAAGATTAATAAAGTAATATAAAAGTATTAATAAAACTCTCATCATCACTAAATGACTGATTTACTAAATTTTTAGCTGGATGCTCACAGATAGTTAAATTGCCGTAATAACTCTGAAAAACTAAGTCTCTTAATTCATGATGACATTAAAAAAACCTACAGATTGCTTTCCTACTCTTCCTGCCACCCTCTCGCTCCCAAAAAGTAGTTCAGTGTAATTGATGTTACCCGCTCATGTGGGACCTGACACTGCTTACTATTCTCATGTCTCCTTCACTTCAGGATGATCTGATAGGAAATTAGGTATATTGGCATTTACCCAATCTTAATCCATAATTTTTAGATGCAACTCTATGCAATTCTAAGACTGCAATGTGAGGAAAAACTCCATGATATAAGAGATTTAGGAATGTTATGGATGTTCAGCTTTGCCTGAACTAGAAATGCCATTGCGGTGTTCATTGCTTTGTAGGGCCTTTTCTGTTACTAACACTGAATAATGCTTCATTTTAGGTTGAATGCTATGACTATGATAGCGATGGGTCTCATGATCTCATAGGGAGTTTTCAAACTACGATGTCAAAACTGAAGGAAGCATCTCGGTCCTCACCTGTAAGTCTTATGCTAAACTGCCTGTGTGTTTTTGATAAGCTGTTTTACTCATTTGGGAGCAAAACTTATGTCACTGGAGTAGCAGGTGTCAAATTGTGTTATGCTACACCTTAACAATGCTACTGTAGTTGAGGCTGACTCAGCATTTACGTTATGCATCCACTTTCCTAGGTTTAATATCTTGGTTACAGTTTTTAATATTACATATCTAAATACCCAACCATCAGCAAAAATGAATGTCACTAATCATAAAAATACGGAAATAAAAAGACTTAGTGTGTCAAAGATAACTGCAGTGACATTTGTACTGCATTCTAAAAGGCTAAAGCCTGCAGTATTTTTTTCAGATTTTACTCAGTCCTTTATTTCAAGTATGGCATTTATCAACTCTAATGCATATTTTAGTGAATATGAAAAAATTCAGTATTCATGCCACTGCACAAAAATGCAATTGAATGTGTTACATTAGGTGACTTCTTTAAAGTGAAATTACCCTTCCTGTTCTTACGAACTATAACAAACGTGCAAACCTTTTAATGGACAAGGTTTACGTTGAGAAGAAGAAAGGTGGCATAGCCACCTTATCGTAAGTGTTTGTTTTATGGACATGTATGATGTCAAAATATTTTACCATCTTTTCTTTTATTTCTGTAAAACCTGCAGAACTGCTCCTGCATTAATAATAATGAGATATATTGAGTGCCTGCTTGTACTTTCCTATCATCTTGAGTGTTGCATTTGTACTACATTCTTCAGAGCTGTTGAATGTGAAGAGTCAACCTTGACTGTAGTGGTTTTTGATTGCTGCTTTGTGCTCTGCCACGCTTTTCTTCTAGATACCTGTTTCTGTATTCATTTTGAATTACGCATGGTTCAGTTTAATGCCTCTTACGGTTTTATATTGTTTGTAAGGAATTTTGTATTCGTATCTTGTCATGGTTTAACCTCAGCTGGCAATTAAGCACCATGCAGCTGCTCACTCACTCCTCCCTGCCTCCTGGAGGCATGGGGAAAAGAATTGGGAAGAAAAAAAAAACCAGTAAAACTCATGCGTTGAGACTTTGAGTTGTTTAATAGGACAGGAAGGGAAGAGAAAAGAAAAATAACAAAGATAAAAGAATATACAAAACAAGTGATGCATGATACAATTGCTCACCACCCACTGACTGATGCCCAACCAGTTCCCGAGATGCGGTCACCCCCTCCGGCCAACTCACCCCATTTTATATACTGGGCATGACATTATATGGTATGGAATATCCTAATATCCTTTTGGCCAATCTGGGTCAGCTGTCCTGGCTGTGCCCCCTCCCAGCTTCTGTGCACCTCCTCACTGGCAGAGCATGGGAAGCTGAAAAGTCCTTGACTTAGTATAAACGCTACTTAGCAACAACTAAAACATCAGTGTGTTAGCAACATTATTCTCATACTAAATCCAAAACACAGCACTATACCAGCTACTAGGAAGGAAATTAACTCTACCCCAGCTGAAACCAGGACAATATCATATGCATGTAATTCATATGCTGCCTAGTTGGAGCTCTTAGGTATTTTTCTCATTTTTTCAAGATTTTCAGGGACCAGGTTGTATCAGCTGATAGTGATTTTTCCTATTATTGTAATTTAAGTGTGGGGAAAAAAAAAACAGTGGGAGAGCAGCAGTATTTCATAAAATCCTTTTTCTGCCTTTTTTAATGGAGATTTTATGAATCTTTTAAAAAGATGTTTTTCTTAGTGTTTTTTTTTTAAAGTTGCATTTTTGTTATAGAGGAGTACCCTAAATTAAACAAACCTAGCAGGTTTGTATGTTCACGTTTTCAAGCACATATTTTTTGTAAGAACTCTGATAGTTACTTAAGTCAGTAAAATGAAGCAAAGAGACAAAACAAATAATGTGCTCCAGGTTTCTTCTACTCTTCAAAGGAACTAACCTATAATCCTGTGTGATTTGATTGATTTGATAATGTACATAAAATATACCCTCAGTTGCTGAAAAAAATGATCATGTATGACTGGAGTGGATAGATGGCTTTCCATTTTCTGGAGAATTGCTGATTTATTTTTTTTCCCCATCCCTTAAGGTGTATCTTCCCCCAGGCGTGCTGTTTGTGTGCTCTGGTTGGAGGATTATAAAATGTAGTTGAAAGATTATACATGCTATGCATCCCATGGCGGTTATTAGTGATTACCTCACCAATTGACATACTACAAACACAAGTCCCTGAAAGACACTTTCCATCAAATAGAAGTGATGCTGGTCGTGAAATGTCCAAAAAAAAAGAAAGAAAAAAGAGGTGTGTAGAATTCTTGGGTGCTGACCTTGTTAGTGCATTTTTTCACTTGAGATTAATTGCAAGATCACTTTTTAAAACTTAATTAACTTAAGACAAAGCAGTGGAACCTGTTTCTTGCACTGAGCCAGAAGGCATGTCTGGAATACGTCCTCTAGACTGTTTAAGCACCAGACGTGCTGCATTGTGCCATTATGACCGTATGATGGCAGGAGCTGCTTAATCTAGCTGTTGATTGTACTTGGAGGTTAAGGTATTGGTTTAATTAATGAAGCCTCAACAACTGATTTTGGAAGATTAAACTTCATATTTCGTATGTTACTGCCACAGCTGCTGGAAGATGATACAGAATTTCTTTGACTTGTTGAAATACAATTGTCTAAACAAACATATTTGTAAGCTTTTGGGTGAGAGACGATTCCTGTCTTGATAATGGGGTTTTTCTTTCTTATTTTGGGCAGGCTGGGTTTAATTTTGCTTGACAGTGAAATAAACTGCACTATTAATACAAGCCCAAAGTATTAGTCTTAGAATAAAGAATTTTAAATTTGTTGTTTAAATGATATTTATAGTGTTTTTTTTGGATTTGTTTGCATTCATGCAGGTTGAATTTGAGTGCATCAATGAAAAGAAAAGACAGAAGAAAAAAAACTATAAAAACTCTGGCATTGTGAGTGTTAAGCACTGTGAGGTCAGTAAGATATTTTAGTATAACCTTTTTTTTAAGTGTTCAGCCATAGCTCTCATCTAGTACGCCTTCACCCTCAAACTGTAAGAAACTTTGAAATGTCTGAAAATTCCAGACACAGTAAATATTTAAGGGCTGTGATTCATATAAGGAGACAGATTGACAGCTGAATCACGTGTCTGTCCTTCCCTGTCCCCTGACTTTCTTTTGAAGATGCCATCTAAATGGCAAAGGTTGCTTACCAATTTGTAAGGCCATTCATGAACCACTGCAATTCCCAACTCACCATTTTATGGTGAATTAAAATCTGGTACGTCTGTCATAGTATGTTGTTTTATAAATGATAGTGCTTTTAGAGCTGCTTTGTTGTCTGCCTGTAATTTTGCAGAAGGCCTGATTCTGATGCACTGTGTGATGGCACATCCTGTAAATATCCTCACTGCAGTGGGTGGGTGGGATATCTATAGAGTAAAAGTAGTGCTTTGCATGGCTAAAGATAACAAACATGGAACCTCAAAAGTTGCTGCAGTAATACTGTTTATCTCTCATTAAAAAAAAAAACTTAATTTCTATCTTTAACTTCTATTTTTAGATCATAGTAGAGTGCACATTCCTTGATTACATCATGGGTGGGTGTCAGCTAAATTTCACAGTAAGTTAAATCATTTATGTAAAGTAGCTTTTGAGTTCTATAACAAACTGAAATATTAAATTAATTGCTAGTGCTCTTCATTTGCCTTTTTTGTTTTTTTTTCTCTGTAGCGTAGAGGAGGAAGCCATTTTGCCAGAGTTCATCTAATTTGTTCAGAAAAAAATATTTTCTTTACTCATGGCACAAAGTTCTGAACCTGTAGTTATCTTTGTTCGGAACTAGCTGAGTGGTATGGATGGAGACAAAGGAGAAATTTACAGTTCTCTGATTTATTTCAAGTTTCCTTTACATAAGGACTTTTTTTTCCCTCACACTTCCTCTGACCATTTCATTTTTGCCTTTGATGGTGATTTTCAAGGCCTTTTGCTTAATGAAAGCGACATACAGAAGCCATTGTATGGGTTAGGACTCTTAAGTTATGTAATTTGCGAACGAAATGCAGCACAAATAACAGTAAAATGTCTTCATCCTGGTAATAGGCCTCATCACCAAAGCAGAGAAGACCCATTGAGGTCAGAGAGAACTATCTCTAGGCTTTTGTGGTGTCTGCCTAGTAATACTTCTGAGAGGAAAGATGCGTATGGCAAGATACAGGCTGAAATTAATTTCACAGCTGTAGCAGCTGTGAATGGTAACAAGTCTTATGAGGTGCAGCTGAGGGAACTGGGGTTATTTAGTCTGGAGAAGAGGAGGCTGAGGGGAGACCTTCTCACTCTCTTACAACTACCTGAAAGGGGGTTGTGGCGACGTGGGTGTTGGTCTCTTCTCCCAAGTAACTAGTGATAGGACAAGAGGAAATGGCCTCAAGTTGTGCCAGGGGAGGTTTAGATTGGATATTAGGAAAAATTTCTTCACTGAGAGGGTGGTCAGGCATTGGAACAGGCTGCCCAAGGAGGTGGTGGAGTCGCCATCTCTGGAAGCGTTCAAAAAAACGTGTGGATGTGGCGCTTCAGGACATGGTTAGGGGGACATGGTGGCGCTGGATTAATGGTTGGACTTGATGATCTTGAAGGTCCTTTCCAACCTTAGTGATTCTGTGAAAGTAAGCACAGTGAAAACCTGACAGATGAAAGTCATTTCAGCCCTTCTGGGAGATGCAGAGCTTCTGCTGGTTTTGTAGTGCCATTGTTTTAGGAGTGTTAATATTCCAAGAAACCTGCATCTAAGTATTGTGCTTGTTAGATTTTTAGATGTCCTAGTAACTATTGTTAACAACTCTCATGATTTTCACTTTGGCTTTGCCAGAGATAAGAAACATAATTTTACCTCTAACAGCAATTTGATATAAATACTGCATTTGACAGGTGGGGATAGATTTTACAGGCTCCAATGGAGACCCTCGCTCTCCAGACTCTCTGCACTACCTCAGCCCTAATGGAGTTAATGAATACCTAACAGCCATTTGGTCTGTAGGAATGGTCATTCAGGATTATGATACGTAAGTTTTAGATTTTTATTTAAATCTTGTTTAGATATCTATAGATTTTTGTGCTAGTTTCTTAAACCAATGTTGAAGATGCTAGCAGATACATCAGAATGAAAATTCTGAATGAATGAATTCAGAATTATATGTAGAGCTGAAAAAGACTTCATAATCATTGCACAGTCACATAATCACAAGCAGAAGCTTGTGTTTACAGCAGACAAGCAAGGCTTTTAATCTCTGATGTAAAAAGCATTAATTTAAATAAATGCTTGCATTCTTGTCAGTTTGGTGCTAAAGACTGGTTTAGGTCCTAGAAACAATTACAGGGGGGAACTTCCATTTAATTTTGTCTCTTAATGCTTAATAAGCAGCATTTTAATGATCAAAAGAAGCAGTGAACTAAACTTACTGAATTAAACTTACTGAACTATGACAGCTTTTAAAGAAAGGCACTAATTTCATTTTCTTTAAAATTGCTTTTTTAGGGATAAGATGTTTCCAGCTTTTGGATTTGGTGCACAAATACCCCCTTCCTTTCAGGTAATGGAATACGTAAATGCACTACATAAGACAACCAAAAGCACTTACTTCAGGAGGAGATTGTATATGCAGTCCTGACTGTGTCTTTTGTGTATTGACAGGTGTCACATGAGTTCCCATTAAATTTTAACCCATCAAACCCATTCTGTAATGGTAAGTCTGAGAAGGTAACATCAGACCTAGAGAATAAAAAGTCTAAGGTGAAGGAATAAAAACACTTGAAAGGTGAACTGTGAAGCATGTTGTTCTAATTAACCAATGAGTGTAGCAGGAAACAATTTTATAACCATTTTCTTAGTTATTATAAATAACATTTGGTCTCTCTTCTGTAATGATTTGCGAAAGAAGTGTTGTAAACAGCTAGGGCGCAGTACAGGTAACCTGGGAGTGGTTCTTTCATGTTGTCAAGCCACTTCATTGTACTTCACTGCTGGTGTGGAGTTGTCCGGTTTGAGTATGATGCCTGTTCAACGTGGTCTCTCTGACCACACTGCCAGGTGAAGAGAGCTGTTGTAATTGTCACATGCACTTGAGCATACAGTATGTGGCCTTTCTATGTGCATAAAGCCGGCCATGTTAAGTATGGGCTTAAGCATTGGTCAAGCTGAAGGCCTCCATTGCTCATGACATTTATTTTTTTCATCATGTTTAGTTTTAAATCATTGCATCATCACTTTAAATAACTGATATATACAGTGTTTTAGGAAGATCAAGTGCTTCAAAATACCCTAATTCTAATACGAAAAATGTAATATGTTCTGTTTGTGTTCTCTAGGAATCCAAGGCATTGTTGATGCATATCGGGCTTGTCTTCCCCAAGTGAAGTTATATGGGCCAACAAATTTTTCTCCAATTATAAATCATGTGGCAAGATTTGCTGCTGCAGCTACACAACAGCAAACAGCATCTGTAAGTTCTTTATGGTAGTGTGTGTATTTTTCATACTTTTTTCTTCCCGTTCCAGTTTATAAATACTATTTTTCTCTTTTAAGAGTGTAAGTGTACTTGTTTTGACAGCTGGCCATTTACAATGTGAATCGGTGTTTGGCACCCTTAAAACAAGATAAAAGCTAACTGATTTTTGCAGATTGTACACAACAGTTCTCTCCTAAATGAACTGAAACTCTTCAGAGTTGCAGTATCAACTTACAAATACATGGCACTTCTATGGTATCTTCTATTCAAAGCTCTTGCAGTGCTATACAGGTGTTAAAGTCTAATTTTTAAGCCTTTGCATATAGGAGAGTGATTTAACCTCAGCTGAAAAAAATCAACTAGGCCTTGCTTCACATCAGATAGCTGAGAGAATTAAGTAAGGTAACAACGAAATGGAGGATATAGCTCCTGACACCTAGGTACAAACATAGATAATTAACTGTCCTTATTATAAAGCTTTCGGTGCTGTATGTGCTGTGCTCTCCTCCCCATTAAAATTGTATCCATGACTTGTTGACCATATTAGGAAATGGGAAGTCTGAAGAGCAAGTCTTGAGTATCAAATTGTTTAGATAATCACACAAGTTCAGCAAATTTGAAGCCATATATATCCGAATTCATTGATGATATTAAATACTAGTATCTCAGATGTCATGTAATATCAGAAAATAAGATTAGCTATTTTGCATATGAAAGTACCTGTGGAAACCAATTTGGAAAAGAGCTATGGATTTTCATATGCCAAGAGGTTTATAAGGTTTTGCCTTAGTAGTCTTTGAGTATTAACTGTCATCAATATATATATTCAAAAAGTAGTAAAATTTCTGCACTTTCTGAGAGTGCAGTATGCCTAGCAAGGGATTTATATTTTATGCCTGAAAAGATAGGCTGGATCGATGGGCAGAGGTTGACTGTA